CCTGGAATTAAGGAGAAACTTCCTAATAGGGAGGACAGTTAACCAGTGGAACAGCTTGCCACCAGAAATCATGGGTGCTCCATCATTGGAGGTGTTTAAGAAGAGTTTGGACCAGTGATGGCTAATATCTTTGTTGCCGTGTGCCAAAAGCGCACATGTGCAGGTGCACCCATAATGCAATGTGTGCAGGACCTGTGTGTACCCCACCCCCTCGACATGCACTCCGCCCCATGCACTCCTGCACATGTGTGTGCGATCCCCATGCATGTGTGCACATCTCCTGCACATGACCTGCGCATGAGTGGCAAGAGATCAAACACCAATTAGCCGGTGGGAAGCACGCACATATGTGTGGTGGAGCTGAGCTGGGGCAACGACGGTCACCAAACGTGGCCACTTTAAGACTTGTGGACTTCAACTCCCAGCAGAAGTGGCCACGTTTGAAGACCTCTGGTCTAGACAGTCACTTATCCGAGATTGTATAGGCTCTCCTGCTTGAGCAGGCGGCTGGACTAGAAGACCTCCACCGTCCCTTCCGGCTCTATTCTATTCTGAAATAACTCCAGAACTACCTGTAATGCTGGCCTGGCTGCTGGCCCATCCCTGGCAGGACTCAGAAAGGAGCCAGCTGGGAGGAAGGTCGCGCTGGCCAGGACAAGGTCAGCCCGGCTCAGAGGTTTCCTCAGCCATTCCCGGGTTTCTGCTGCGATTTTGCAAAGCGAGCCCACCGCCGCTTAGGGAAAGCCGTGCAATGCGCCGGAATCCTTCTGCCCCACTATGACACCCTCTACCCCCGGTGCGCGTGCACGGGCTGCGCGCGACGCCCTGGGGAGCGGGGTGGGTGGCAGGCGCGTGCATACTCCGGCAGGCGCTGCGCAACCCTGCTGGCGGGTTTGGCCCGTTCAGACGACCCACCTCCACCCCCAAAACCCCAACCCGGGCATGCTCACCTCTCCTTCCGCGCCGGGCGCGTGAGCGGCGGCCGCGAGAAGGAGGGCAGCCCGCCGGGGTTGGGGGGGGGGGGACCTCGTCCCGGAAAAACTACAGCTCCCACAATCCACCGCTGGAGAGCCGCAGTCCCCCCTCCCTTACACACACAAACACACACGTACCCGGCGTGCCAGCCTGGGCGCTGCGGGTGCTTTGTGAGCTCAGGACCGGCCGGGCGAGGAAGGAGCCTGCCCCGCTCGGTCAGCTGAGCCAGGTGGCGGGGCTCAAGGGCCAGATCGGCTCGTTCAAGCCCTGCCCGCCCGAGCGGGACATTCTGGAAAAGCAGTTGCGGTGAAGCCGAGGGACTGACTGCCAGCCGGTGCGGGGCGATCTCCCAGTTGGAGGCAGTCCCTTTCAGCTCGGCTCCGGGGCAATCCCGGGGTCCTCCCGAGGCCAGGCTCCCCTCCCTCCCCTGTCCTCTGGGGGGTTGGGCAGCATCTACAGGGCCAATGGGAAGGGGGGGCGTTTGCTCCCGAGGAGATTTCGTGGTTTCCTAAAAGTTGGTAAACAGGGTTAGGCTTGGAAGGGACCTTGGAGGTCATCTAGCCCAACCCCCTGCTCAGGGCAAGAGACCTGTATTATGGATTCGAACGGCTGAACTGTCGACTTTTCTGATCGACAAGCTCAGTGTCTTAGCCACTGAGCTATCTAAAAGGGCCCGTTATCTGCCTCCCCCCACCTCTTTTCAGGGGTTTTGTCACATTTCTGAAGATTCTGACCAGAGTTTATTCTCCTGCTGGATCTTCCTGGGGGGAGGGGGCAGTGAGGATGGCATCGCCCAGGGCTTCAAGATCTGTTGCAACCCAGGAGGGTGGGCAATAGGCAAGCTAGCTCCCCCACCCTTCCCAGTTGCAAGTACTTCAATGGCTTGAGCTCTGGAAACTAGCACTGACCGCCTGATGTGTTGTCCTACAATTCTCATTATCCTGAGCCAGCATTGGGCTGTTAGTCTAGGAAATAGAGCTGCCTTAATACTAGATCAGTCAAGCTTAGCTTGAATCAGAATGGGAAGGGATCCTAGAGGTCATTCAGCCCAACCCACTGCTCAGTGCAGGAATCCAAATGCAAAGTGCCACTGACAGATGGCTCTCAGCAAGGTACCCCAGAAAGAATTTGGAGAAGGGGAGCCATCCCTTCCCTGGCTCAGTGGGCTTTGTGGGTAAATTGGGGGACTTTTCCTGACACTGAACTAAGTTTTTTCTTCTGTTGTTTGAAGGCATGTTCCCATTTTCTGGGATCAGAAAACAGGTCTAGTTAAAAGATGTATTTATTTAGTGCAGAGGGCCCTCGTACCCCCCCCCCCCAGAGGCAGCCCACTCTATATGGGGCAGCTTCCAACTCTCTGGTCTTCTCCCCACCCCCTTGATTTTTTCTGAGCCTTTCAAAGTGACTCACAAGGGAGCCTGAATAATGCAGAATGTAGTAGGACTATTGTAAATTGTTGCTTGTTAAATAAACCACAATGAAACAGAGATGAATAAACGTGGTCCTGGTAGTGGGGGAGGGAGGAGGCTTGAGGGCCACAAAGTACACTCACATTGTACACATTGTACCTGTCAGCAGAGGGCTCTCTCTCTCTCTCTCTCTCTCCCTCTCTCCCTCCCTCCCTCCCTCTCTCTCTCTCTCTGTGTGTGTGAGAGAGAGAGATTGAGCTATTGCTTTTTTTAAAAAAAATCTGTTTTAGAACTAACACTTTTCATAGGCTTCCCATGTGCAAATGGCAGCAAAATTTGTATTCAGGTTTTAGCAATGCTAATCTGTGTGGGCTCCAAGAACTTGGGGGGCGAATTTAATCCTCCCTGGCATTGCACACACACACCCCCAAGCAAAGCGAACTGCGATCTACCTACCCCTCCCCTCAAGGAATTCAAACTCGGCTACAATATTCACATTTGTATTCTAGAAAAGTTGAGCAATTGTGCTCCTTTAGTGGCTCTTGCCTGCCTGCCTTGAGGGTGCCCTATCCAGGTGGCAATCACCAGGGCTTCAGGAGCTCCCCAGAGACAACCTGGGAAGCTCCAGAGTGAAGAATGAAGGCTTGCTGCGCGCGCGCGCACACACACACACACACACCGAAAAGTTGAAAAGCCCTGAAAGTTAGGAATGAGCCGGGGGGGGGCGAAGAGCAACTCTTCGTTCCTCCTTGCGAGTCTCCCGCGGTCGCCTCTGCCTGGCAGCGAGCTCAGCTCTCGCCTTGCCTTTCTCCCGGCTCCTGAAAGCCCCCGGGCTTAGATGCCCATTTGGGGGGGGGGTGCATTGAACACGGAGCGGGCAGATCCTGCAGTCATTCACCTGCGCTGGGCGAGGGGGGAGAGAAGCACAGCAGCCCCCACCGCCTTCTGGCTCGGGACTCCAAGCGGCGGCACCAGGTCAAAAAGCCCAAAGGCGGAATTTATTGCCAGGGGGCCGGGGGGGGGGCTGCTTTTGCGCCACGCAGAATTCGGGGTGGGAGAAGGGCCCGCACGGGCTCCACGCGGAGTTTGGCGTGTATGTGCAAAGCGGCCGGGCATAGCGCAGAAACCAACCCAGGGGTGCCCCCCGCCCAAGCGGGAGGCAGGGGGCCAGTGCGGACCCCCGATCTGGTCCCAGCAGCCGTCCGTTGCGGAGGAGCGCGGGGCGGGGGCGGGGGCGGCGCCAGGCAGGTGCGTCGGGAAGTGGCCGGCCGGCAAGGCAGAAGCCGCGGCGTCGCCGAGCCCGAAGTTTGGGGGCTGCTGGGCAGCCCGGAGCGGAGAGGGGCGGGGGCACCGGAAGGAGGCCCTGAGCTGCTGCCCAAGAAGCCTTCCCGGCCGCCGCCGCCGGCCCCGGGACCCCGCCGGACAGCCGCTCCGGAGCTGCGGCTCTTCCTCTGGCTCGGTAAGAAACAGGAGGGGGGGGGCGCCTGGTCCTTGGCGTTTCCTCCAGCCAGCCCGGTGCAATTGCAGCCCTGCGGAACAGAGCCGCTGCTGGCATCTGCGGAGGGATCCGAAGAAGCTTGTCCAGCGCTGCAGATACTCTCCGGGGCTGCAGTGCCCCCCCATCCCACCCCGGGCTCCATCCTGCCAGCTGCTCTGCCCAAGAGTTGCGTTCCCCACGAAGCCCCCTTCGTTCTTCTCCCTACCCCCCACCCCGCTCCCCTCGGCTCTTTCGGTGCGGCTTGGCTTGGGGGGGGGAGTGACTGAATAGCGCTCCCCCCCCCGAGGAAGTGACTGCAGGGGGGGCAAAGTTGCGTGTGGGAGGGGCGGGGAGGAAGTGGTTTTTTTCAAATCCCCCCCCCTCCTCCTGGCCCGTCCTGACGATTGCGAACGCACCGCGCGTCCTGCGGGCAGCCTCAGAACCGGCCGCTCCTGTTAAGGGCCGCCGGTGCCCACCTGGGCATCTCAGCCCCACGCGCGTACCTGGCAGCCTGGAAGCCCCTTCTTGTGCAGGAGAAAGGCGGAATTTCTGGCTCTTTAAAAATGGGGTAATCCTTTCCTCCCCTCGGCTCGTTGGAGAAATGAGGCAATCCTTGGAGAGAGAGAAAATTGGGGGGGGGGGAGCAGTTCAGGCCCTGAGTTCAGATTCTGTGCCACCAGCAGCAGGCACTCAGGAAAGCCTCTTCTGGTCCTATCAAAAGTTATCAAAATAGAAATATATTGTACAGCCTGTTTACAGATCCTGGGAATTCTGTCGGGTGATCCCAGGGCTTTCCTGGAGGAAAACAGTTTTAAACGTTAAGCTCTGGTTTTTTTCTGGGGTCCTCTAAAAGAGCAATGGGGGTTTCCATTCCTTTCCAGATATTGTACCCATGAACAATCAGGTGTGCATAATTTGCAGGTCCAAGGGAGGGGGGGAGGTGCAGCGCTCCCCATCTCCCAAGGTTTCCATTTTGGAAGTTTAAAAAAAAACCTGAGATCTGGTAGCATCTTTCCAGATTTAAAAGTTTCTCGAATTAAATCCATTTTAAATGCTTCCTCTTTTTGCCTACCATGGACTAAAACAATTTTTGGAAGGAGAAAATGGCAAACAGCAGTGATGCTATTAACTGTGCTTATTTTAATTGGAGCAAGATGAGATGTAGATGAAATAAAAGTAAATGAAATCCTGCAAATAAACCCTTCACTATTTTTTCCATCCTACATCCCACTCCAGATTGCGTGATGTTGAATGAAACTTGGAGCTACTTAGAGCAAGGGTCCTTTCAGACCTCAGCGACCACTACATTCACAATTTTAAATCCCAGGGACCACTAATATGATTTTTTTTAAAAAAGTATTTAGTGCAAAATAAAAATTTATGTGGACCACCAACATTTTCTCATGGACCACCACCTGCTGGTGACCACTGGCTCACAGGTTGCCCTACAGTTTTGTACTGGGGAAAGGGGATATTCCTTTTCTTCTTTTTCTCTTTTTAATGTTTTAACTGAAAAGCCCATCTCCTCCCGCCCCCCCCCATCCGCCCCAGGTTGAGGGTGAAAATCCCAGGGGTCCCAGCCAGCCAGCCAAAGAGGGGCTCTGTGACCCTCAGCCCCTCCCCCTTCCTTGATCCATACCCCTTGCTAGCAGGTGAGACGGGAGGGGAGAAAGAGGACTGTGGGAAAGCAGGTTCAGAGCAAACGTGCAGAAGAAATTGAAAGGGAACGGAAAAACAGGATGCTGGAAAAGTTGCTTGACAAGGGAATTCTTCCAACTGCAATGAATACTTTCACAGCTTATGGCATACCTTCTTTCCAGGACCATTCACATAACTCACTGGATTAGATAAAAATTGTGGTTCTATGCATATATAATTTTTTGGTAAAAGTTTTTTCTTTTTTTTCTTTTTAAAACAAATATTTCATCATTCATTAATCAGTGTGTTGTCTGAGTACAAACTTTTTTGTGTCATAATAGTTATAGCTTAACCACCAAATTCTTTATTTATATCAATTCTTATTTTAACATTACAACTTAACATATCTCCTGTTATAATATTTAACTTCCTATATTATTTAATTTTATACTTTTTATCCACATTCATTTTCTAACCAATGATAAAATAACCCCCCATATATTATAATAATCAGGTTCTTCCTTTCCTTTAATTGTTAATCTACTCATTTCTGCACAATCTAATATTTTCTTTAATCACATTTTCATCTTCAGGAATTTCTTCAGCTTTCTAATTTTGGGCAAATAAAAGTGCATTTTTTTCAGTGCATTTGTGAGGATCTTGGCATATGGGGTGAAACTGGCAATCTTTTCCAAGCATAGTAGAGCTTATTGATTGAAGCAAGCTCTCCCCTCTCTTGCTATTTCAGGTTTAGTATGTTGTGCAAAGGTGTCATCAGAGCATAGTGAATAAAAAAACCTTTCCCATTCAATTTCTAAACAAGTTCAACCTTGCTTAAATGCAGCCAAGGCTGAATGTATTTTTCATCTCTTCTAAGGCAGTGGGAAATTGGGCCGCTCAAACAAGCCTCATGCATATTTTTAAGTGGTTTCTTATATAATGTTTGTGCTGCAACACATCCGCACATTTTAGCTCAATCGGTCTCACCCTCTGCAGATACAGAACTGGCTGTTCCACCTTTCAAAGTTTTTGCAATGCATTTCTCAGCATTTATTTGCTTTGTAAATTCATTTTCATTCAGCGGAGCATCATTAACATACCGGCTTCCAGACATCTTGTGAGCCAGTTGAAGCAGCACATTTTCAGTTGACGGGGGCTGTGATTTGATGTAGAGGAAGCCTGAATCATGCACATTTTGAATACATTGAAATGATGTGGCAGATTTGTGCCCTGCCAGAGCTGGTTGTGCACTGGTTCAGAGAAGCTCAGCTGATGGCAACTCATTTCCCAGAGAGCAGCAGGCAACTTGGCTGATGCCTCTTCCTAGGAGGGCTCCTGGCCTGCCCTCCTAAAAGCAGCCCAATAGCTCAGCAAGGGGCAGACTCTCCCCGGCCTTTTTTGGGCTCCCCTCTATCACGTCACCCCCTCCCACAAGATTAAAAAGGCCCCACTCTCACACTCTTCCGGAGGGCGCTGAAACCTGTTCTGCCTGCAGACTTGGGGAACCCAAAGTGGGATGGAGCCCATTCATGTGATCTGCTGTCGCCGTGGTGGCTCATGTGATCTGCTGTCGCCGTGGTGGGGAGTGATTTTAGTACATTAATTTATTAGTTTTATTAATTTTATATGGTATTTTATATTCTGTAAGCTGCCTGGAATTGCCATATGCAAATAGGCAGCAATATAAATAAAATAAAAAATAAAGTAAAGTAAAAAAGTAAAATAATAAAATAAAATATAAAATAAAACAATAATATAAAGATAAAATAAAATAATGAAATAAATAAAATAATGAAATAAATAAAATAATGAAATAAAATAAATAAAATAAATAAAATAATGAAATAAAATAAATAAAATAAATAAAATAAATAAAATAAATAAAATAAATAAAATAAATAAAATAAATA